AGATTTAACCCACACCACATGCATTAGTCCTGGTTATCTTACAGTTGATGGGCAACTCATACCAGGCAGGGGAAAGGAGCTGGTTAGGGAAAAAGGTGTCATTTTTCATCTTTTAAAGTCTTAATTTATATTTTAACCTCAAACTTATTATCAGTGCCTCAGATACAACTTAATCTTAAGTCTTTAAAAGCCCCCTGAAACAAAACAAAAGTACACTTTTTTTTAAAGCTCCCTCACTTCTGGTAGTTAGTTTTCTCCCAAGTCTCCAGTTTTACCCTGACTTAGAGTCCACAAACTTCATCAGACCATCTGTGCTCATGGACTTGGGCCTCTCTAGAGGGAAGCCTAGGGCTCGGCTCCAGATGAGCTGTGCCAGTACACCCAATGCTCGTGACACCCCAAACAGGACCGTGTAGTAGTTCATCTCCGTCATGCCATAGTACTGTAAGGTAAAAGAGAAAAGTGTTTTGTTAAAGGCCTAGAGGTAGTGGCATTTACAAATCCAGGGTCACAGAAACCTTAGCCCAGTTAGCGTTGAATAGAAATGACACTGGGAAAAGTATAGCAATTGCGATTCTGAAAACAGAGCACTCCTTTCCTCCTGCCCACACCTTCTCAACCATAGGCAACTTTATCAGAAAGGTAAGGAAAGAGGTATAAGAGTCCCTGCTTTGACTAGGGAATTGACTTTGTGCATGGCAGAAAACAGTAGTGTTTACTAAAAAGTAAAGGGAAAGCCGGAAAGGGAGGACTCACCTGGAGCAGCACCCCACTGTGAGCATCTACATTGGGCCAAGGATTCTTGGCCTTGCCCTGTTCTAAGAGGACATTGGGCACAATCTTGTACAGCTGAGCAACAAGCTTAAACATGGGGTCGTTAGGCAGGTGTTTCAGAGCAAACTCTCGCTGACACGTGTATCGTGGATCAGTCTTTCTCAGTACTGCATGGCCATAGCCTGGGACAACCTGTAAAGAGGCGGAAAAAAGCCAGTTATATTCTCAGGTGGAAATTCTTGTCTTTTCTAAATTCTTCAGGATAGACAAATAGGGGGGTGGGGAGTACTCCTCTAATTTAGGGACCACTTTTCATTCTTTTCTCCTTAATTCTTCCTAATTGGAGAACTTGGGTCTTGACTTCTTTCCTAGTTGCTAAACATCTCTGCTTACCCGCCCTGAGTTGAGTGTGTTCCAGATGTAGTCTCGTAATTTTTCATCTGACACATCTTTGCCAACTTCCTTCTGTAGGTGTGTCAGCCAGACAAGTACTTCCTATGGATAAGGTTTGAGGAATAAAGTGTCAATACATATGCTAAGGAGAACGTCAAGATCAGAAACAAAAGCATAGGATTACGAACATGGAGCAGGAAAAGAAAAAGAATAGTCTTACCTGATTTGCCAGTCCATGTAGGGGCCCTGCCAGCCCATTCATGGCTGCTGCAAAGGACAGGTACGGGTCTGAAAGGGCACTGCCCACCAAGTGGCTGGTATGGGCACTTACATTGCCACCTTCATGGTCACTGTGGGGAAATAAGAAAGGAGAGTCAAGGTCAAGAGAAAGAGGAAAAGGGTCAGATTATGGAAACATAGACCTAGTTCTCTTGTCACATACTAGCCTAGTTATGGGCGTACACCAGCCTATAGCCAGCCAGTCAGTTATTCATAAGCTCTTGTAAAAGATGTCCCAATCTCATTACCAGCCTTTGTTCACTAATCCACAGAACTGGAGAGGTTACTGGTTGATGAAGCCTGTGTGCCAAGCTCCCTGACTCTCACTCCAGCTCTAATAAGCAATGGCCAGAAGAGGGAGCTCCTGGAAAGCTAAAGGAAAACCTTATGTGAACAGCTAGTACCTTTTCCCACCTAGAAGCACTCTCTTGTTCTTGGTGTGGTTATCATTTCCCTGTACCTTTTGACCTTCTTCACTAGATCCCTTTCTTGCTTTGTATTATCCCTTATGCCATTTTCTATTGCCTTGCTGCCTACCACCTGTTCCCAGATGAGGAAACTTTTAAGGAGCTTTTCTTAAAATTTCCCACTAATCCAGGCTATGGTTGCTGGGTCTAGCTCACCTGTGGATGGTGAGGTACAAGCGCATGAGCTCAGTAAACTGAACATCGGTATAGCCTAACATGTTGGTGAAATTGTGGGACCAGTCCAGCTTAGAGTCAATGGCCCCAATACTGCTGCCCTCCCGGTACAGATTTCGGTAGATCTTTGCGGCAACACAAGGTAGCTTTGCGATCAGATCCATACAGTCTTCGTAAATCAACTGAAGGCGAGAAGAGGAAAATGGAGGGGGGGAGGGAGAAAAAGAATTATCAACAAAGAATTAGGCAGGGATGCTATTTGTCCTCCATGGACTGGGCTATTTGGGTTGATGGTTATATGCTGAGTGGTTATTAGATAGAGCATAACTACAATAACCATTTAACTGAGTAACTGTTATGACCCAGGCACTGCACTAGATGATTTACTCATACTACCAGAGGTCCTTTAAAACATTATTCCCAAATTTTACAATTCTATAATGTATATAATGACCTCCATTTTACAGGTGAGGGAGCTGTGAAGCTCAGAGAATTCAGTTAAATGCCAAAGTCAGATTGAGAACCCTTATATGTTTAATCTTGATCTTTCCAGCTATATGACTTTGCACTCAATGAATGTGTTAAGAAACTAGGTTTTAATAATTAATTTTATGTTCCACCTTTCAAAGAAAATTCACCATATATGCCAAGGGTCAAGCAGTGGAATTCAATTGTTAGCTAATAGCAAAGGCTTCCTTTTTTTTTTTAAAGAATAGTTTATTGAGTTTTAGAGAGAGAGGGAGAGAGGAGAAATATTGATCAGCTGCCTCCAGCATGCCCCCTGCCAGGGACTGAGTCTATATATATGATATTTTCCCCCTATACATACATACCTATGAGTTTAACTTACAGAGACAGTAAGAGATTAATAACAATAACTAATAATATAATAACACAATTATAACAATATACTGTAATAAATATTATGCATGTCTCTTAAAACATTTTGTGATATACTCACCTTTTCACTTAAATGAAGCACTTAATGGCTTCTCTTTGGTATATCCAAATTGCCAGCATCACTACTCTTTATGTTTTGGGACCATTATTAAGTAAAATGAGGGCTACCTGAACACAAGCACTGCGATACCTTGACTGAAGATTTGGTAACTCAACCAGCTGGCTACTAAGTCACTAACTGGTGGGAGCATATACAGTGTGGATACATACACTGGACAGAGGGAAGATTCATGTCCCAGTGGGATGCAGCAGGAAAGTGCGACATTTAAAACATATGAATTGTTGACTTCTGGAATTTTCCATTTAGTATTTTCAGACCACAGTTAACTGAAACCATGGAAAGTGAAACCAGGGATAGGTACTGTGCAGTATAATTAGTTGTTTTTTTTTGGTTTTTTTAAAAACATATCTTTATTGATTTCAGAGAGAGGAAAGGAAGGGGGAGAGAGAGAGATAGAAACATCAATGATGAGAGAGTCATTGATCGGCTGCCTAGCCCACAACCCAGGCATGTGCCCTGACCAGGAATCGAACTCTGATCTCCTGGATCCTAGGTCGATGCTCAACCGCTGAGCCACGCCCGGCCGGGATTAGTTGTTTTTTGAAGGCAGTGTTGAACTCAAACTCAAAGATCTTCTCATAGAAAGCTGTTTCTCTTTGGGGAAAAAACCCTATCTGTAAACATATTAATAGTCTAGCTACACTATTTGCCTTTATAGTGAGGATACAGCCTTTTTAAATTTTTTATTGATTTTAGAGAGAGGAAGGGGGAGAGAGAAACTTCAATGTGAGAAACATTGATCAGTTACCTCCCACACATGCCCCAAACCCACAACCCAGGTATGTACCCTTGACCCATGCGCCCTTGACCAGGAATCAAACTGGCAACCTCCTGGTGCATGGGATGACGCCTAACCAACTGAGCCACACCAACCAGGGCAAGGGTTCCATTTTTTTTTTTTTATATGTTTTTCTTGATTTCAGAGAGAGGAAGGGAGAGGAAGAGAGAGATATGTTATTTGTACTTTTAATTTTCTTACAATAATCCTGTAAGGTAACATATCCCTCATTTTACAAATGAAGAAATTGGGGGTTGGCCACGTTAAGTAACTTATGCAAGGTTACCCACTTAGCTAACAAGTATCATCTAGCTTAAACAATTACTCATGGCCACTTAAAAAAAAAAAATCCTCAGCTGAGCTTGGCCAGTATATTTCAGCAGTTGAGCATGAAAATCCAGGAGATCGAGGTTCAATTCCCAGTAAGGGCACATGCCCTCGGTTGTGGGCTTGATCCCCAGAAGGGCACTTGCAGGAGGCAACCCATCACTGACTCTCATCATTGATGTTTCTATCTCTCCCTCTCCCTTCCTCTCTCTGAAATCAATAAAAATACATAAAATCCTCATCCCATTGGTTTTTAGATATTTTTCCCATTGATTTTTAGAGAGAGTGGGAGGGAGGGAGGAGGGGGAGAGAGAGAGAGAAACATCGGAGTGAGAGAGACCATGAATTGGTTGCCTCCTGCATGTACCCTGACTAGGGCTGGGAATGAACCTGCAACCAAGGTGTGTGCCCTAGATGGGGAATTGAACACTGGCAACCCTGTGGTCTGAGGGCCAATCATCTAACCACTGAGCCAAACCGGCCAGGGCAACTTATGGCCACTTTTGTTTCACCTATACTATAATTTCCTCCTCTTCTCAAATTATTTTGAGCTAATGCCAGACATCATATATGGGGTGGGGCAAAAGCAGGTTTACAGTTTTATGAGCAACACAAAGTTTTTTATTATTAATGATTGTATTATTTCCCATAAGAACTGTAAATCTTCTTTTGTCCCACCGTGTATTTCAACATGTGAATATTTAAGCATGTATATCTAAAAGATAAAGGTCTTTCATAAACCAAAATCACAAAACCATTGTCCTACTGAAAAAAATACTCAGTATCACTAAATATCTTCTCAGTATTCAAATTTGTGTGATTATAAAGCACCCCTGCATCACTCGAGGACTAAAAAATGACCCACACTGCAACTGTCTAATATGTCTCTGAAGTCTCTTTTAAAATAATTTTAAGTTCCTTCTTATGCTCTTCTTTATTTTTACTTTTAAAAAATTTTTATTGAATTTACTGGGGATGACATTGGTTAACAAAATTATACAGGTTTCAGGTGCACAATTCCACAACACATCATCTGTACACTGTATTGTGTGTTCACCACCCAAAGTATCTCTTTTTTTAAATTTGCAATTTATTTGTGGAAAATTGAATTATTTCTTCTGTAGAATTTCCCCCAGGTTTTGCTGATTATATACTTGTGATACCATTTAATGCGTTCCCCTGTCCACTGTATTTTGTATGAACTGAAAGTTAGATCTAGAGGCTGGAGCAGATTCAGGTTCAAATTTTTTTTTTTTAGCAAGACTATTTGATAATTTTGTTATGTTCATTTATTGAGAAATATATAATATCTAGTTGTCACTTTTTGTGATGTTAATAGCTTGGTGAACTTTTATGTCTCAATTTTAACTTCTCAAAGGATTTTAAGTTCCTGAGGGAAGGGACAGGGTTTTAGTGTTTCGTTTTTTAGTTTCTTTGACTGATTTTAGAGAAAGAGAGGAAAGGAGAGAGACATCGATTTGTTGTTCCACTTGCTTACGCATTCATTGGTTTGATTCCTGTATGTGCCCTGATTGGGATTAAAACCCGCAACTTTGGTTTATAGGTACAATGCTCTAACCAGCTGCTTCCATCCATAGTTCCAAGTACATAGAAAGCATGGAGTAAGTATTTGCTGACTGATACTACATAGCACCATCCCATCAAGCTAACTGGTTAAAAGCTACTACAAGAAGTCATGAAGTTTCAGTAGTTCTGTTGGAACAAAGAACAAAATTCATAATAACTAGCCTAAATGAGTTAATCCCTATGAAGTCACTTATACTTAATTACTCAGTGAATTTTGTCAATGCCACCAGAATTCAGTAAGAATACTGCCAAAATACAAGCTACCTGAAGCAAGAAATACTTAGTTAACACTTCTGCCAAGTTCTCAGATTAATTACATGATAATCATACTACTAACTATACCTCCTTGCAGATTTACATCTCCCAAGAACGTAGGTTACTTCCAGAAGCATGCATCAAGGACAGGCAGTTCTAAGGGAACCTGGTTTCATTAGTCAAAGGCCAAGAACAGGATCTTGGGATAGGCAAGATGGTATCTGTGCAGTAGATACTAACTTTCAAAATCATTTGTAAAGTATGAATGCCACATCATAAAGAAACTACAAAAATGTGATTGTTTCAACTTCTCCCAGTGAGGGTGAAGTTTATAAAACAAGTATCAGATCAGGTTTGGCAGTGTGGGATCCTTAACCCCGTTTTTTGTAGTGGTCAACACTGTATAGTTAAGAAGTTAAAACACACACACACCACAAACACCTGGCAGAGAACTCTTATTCATTCTTTAATAAGTGAAGACTGGAGTGCTATTTAGCTACTTGTACTAACTCATTCTTCATCTGTAAGCCATGGGAAAAAAGACGTTAAAACACACCACCACATTTGAAGACTGGCACAGCAGGGGCTAATTTGGGGAAGATTCTTCAGTTAAATGCTCTCATATGGCATAGTTTACTATAGGAAACCTCTCTACAAAGCCATAAAAGTACGCTTACCTTACCCTCTGATTCTGGAATTGATATTTTAAGTTAACTATAATCTATATAAGGATGTTTAAAAAAAAAAAACACCCACCCACAAACCACCAAAAACAAAAAAACATGCCACCATCACAACCGTCTGGAATAAGGGTAACAAAATTGACCATAACTGTCATTGTGAGCCACCACCTTCATCACCAGTAAAATTCTGGCCAAGTATTTAGCTATCAATCATTATTAAGACAGAGAAGAAGAAAGCTAGTATTAATAGTAAAGAGACCCCAGAATGAAGCAAACTCAAATTTGAAATGTTGTCTCTACTTAATTTTTCTAATCCTCAGTTTTCTCATTCAGTAAAATGGGAATAATAACAACATCTACCTCACAGAGTTGTTCTAAGGATTAAATCAGATGATGAACTTTATGCACTTAAAGTGTTTATGCATGTTTTCAAGAGTTGTTAGGTGTTAACATGATTTAATTATAAACAGCTTCAAAAACCATATATACTGTTTATTAGCAAAACTCGATCTGTCAGCTACTTCCTAAATTTTATTCACCTTAACATTTACTTAAGGCTACTTCACAATTAAACAGCTGATTACATCACAGTAATCTTTTGGTCTTGAGTGAAGTTAAGTCAAATAGACAGAGTCCTAACTCTTTCAACTCAAGAGGTTACACTATCTAAAGTCATATGAACTGTGAAGGAAGGAATGTTGGAGACAGATCATCCTCTTGAGGTATATGTAAAAAAACAGGATGAGCCCGGCTGGGTGTGGCTCAGCGGTTGAGCCTCGACCTAGGATCCAGGTGATCAGGGTTCGATTCCTGGTCAGGGCACATGCCCAGGCTGTGGCCTCGATCAATGACTCATCATTGATGTTTCTATCTCTCTCTCTCCCTCTCCTTTCCTTTCTCTGAAATCAATAAAGGTAAAAAAAAAATTAAAAAAAAAAATTAAAACAAACAAACGAAAAACCAGGATGAGCTGATCATCCTAGTAAAGACTCAGATCACATATAAACTTAACATAAATTTTTAAACAGAAATAACCAGCTGAGTGTTGTCATGTAATCCTTAAAGAGTCCATGGTTAAATGAACCAAAACAGAAAACTGAACTGAAGTAACATATCTGACACCTTTAAGGGAGTTAAAAGATGTAGCAGCAAAAGAGCATCAAGCTTCACTAAACTAAAGAACTAAAACCCAGTGGTGCTAATTTTTGTGTAGTGTGAACTTATTAGACACACATCCTAAGTCTGACAAATACATCACTATTGCTTGTACTCTCCAGAAGACTGGCAAAGTCCTGAAATACATGTTTACCACGAGACAGCCACATGCAGATAACATCTCAAAAACAGATGATGGTAGAATAGTCAATCAATGGCTACACTGAAATGGAGGCAATAGCAAGCAGAGGAGTACATTTTAGTGATTCAACAAAGGACAGTGTGAAGCAATGCATGTCTGGGTGCCTGAGAAATACCTTTTAGGTATCTATTAATAAGTATGAAGAAGCTGTTTTCTCCCCCCTCATGACACTCAAGTAACAATGCACTTCTGGGTGGCCAATTTCTAAAAGAAAAGTTTTAAAACAGAAGAAATGTAGGTCTTAATTTAACCTTTTGTGTTATGGTGACCAATACAGATAACAATCACTTGAATAGTATTTTAAAAAAGAAAACGAGGGCCCAGCTGGCATGGCTCAGATGGTTGAGCGACGTCCTATGATCCAGGAGATCTCAGGTGCGATTCCTGGTCAGGGCACATGCCCAGGTTTTGGGCTCGATCCCCAGTGGGGGGCATGCAGGAGGCCGCTGATCAATGACTCTCATCATTGATGTTTCTCTCTCTCTCTCCCTTCCTCTCTCTGAAATCAATAAAAACATTAAAAAAAGAAAATGAGGAAGGAGACTTGACTAGGGGTGGTAAACACAATACAATATACAGATGATAACTTGTAGAATTGTATATCTGAAACCTATATAATTTTATTAACCAACATCACCCCAATAAATCCAACTAAAAAAGAAAGAAAATGAAAAGCAATATATTCAGGCTATAGAGCCTTCTGAATCTACTGATGTGCAGCTCTATAAATGCTTTAAGTGCTTCTGAATGTGTATATTCTGCACCATTCCAATACCCTCCTCCTCCTCAATGCCAAATAGACTAATATCGATTGCAAACTCTCCCTC